CCCAAAGTAAATCCCACTGGTAAGTTACAAACTTGTTTTCCTTCATGTCCTTAGAAAATGTCTCCTAAGGGACGAAAGATGTAGCTCAGTTGTTAGAGAGACTAGCATGCGTGAGGCTGTAGACTGAACCCCCTGTACCCTATAAACCAAGCTGGGTGGTGCATGCTTGTATCTTAACATTCAAGAGGTGAAGACAAGGGGATCAGAAGTTCAAGGTCATCCTTGGCTACACAGAGTTCAAGGCCAGTGGGAGATACATAAGACCCCATCTCAAACGTAAACACATTAAAAACATACAACAGCAACAAAAAAATAAAATAGAAAAAAAGCTCTCCAAATAGACCTACATCTTCGGAGGTGAAAGCTGAAGAGCAAAGAGGGGAGATGCTCCTGTCAGCAGAGTGCTTACTTCTGGTTCAGTTAGTTTCTTAAATATGAATGAACATATTGGCAAAATTTAAAATACAATTTATTCAAACGTGTCTATCTTCTAGATGTCCTTTAAATTAAATAAAAAATCAACAAACCTACTTTTATTGTTAGTACTTATGGTAATGATTAGGAAAAAGCTAGTTTCCTTGAAACTTACATTTTTATTATTGCATGTTTGGGGGGAGGGTGTAGGAACAAACCTGGAACACCATGTTTGATAGACATATCCCTAGTGTGAAACCTAAAAATTTAAATAATATTTGAGAAAAAGTACTTCAAAAGAATGAAATAATTAGAAAATGGGTTTAATTTTTCTTAAAAATATACTCTCAAGAAAGGGGGAGTAAGGTACTTCATACTCTTCATGTATTATATGAATATTATTTCATACTTAATATTTACTTACAACTCTTTCTTCCTTGTTGGGGATGTAACCTAGGACATCATGCATGCTAGGCGAATGCAATTCCACTAAGCACCTACAGCCCCCTAAAATATTTTTTTTTAAATATTAGGAGCAAGGGTATTAGTAAGAAAGAAAGGGGGGGAAGTGGGGGCACCTTAAGTGGGAAAACCATGACAGAGGGGTGAGACGATACAAGAGAGAAACAATGCCTAGCTAGTCACGAAAACCAGAGGGAACCATATTATTCCTACAATCTACC